CCGAAAGCACCCCCTTCCCGTCTGCTTTAGCTCCTTGGTGACAGCGATGACACACAGACTCGCGCACCTACCCTGACCTTCGCGGCACGACAGACATCCCGGTGCTAACACTCACACTCTTAGCCACAGATGCCCGCAAGAATACGCTATCGCATCCACGCACCGCACACACATCCACACGCTGGTCCTGGGGCTCAGCCTCCCAGAGTCACAGAAACGCCCAGAATCACGGCAGGGCAGACCAAGGCGCGGGCCGCAGAGCCCCCTTCCCCCAGCTCTCTTACCATACTGCAGCCCCCGGCCCAGGCTGGCTGGGTCCGCACCGCGGTGCGCCCAGGTGGCTTTCTTAAAGGGAAAGTTGCATCAGCCTCCCGAGGCTGTCCCCCCCCGCCCGTCCACCCGCCCCGCCGCGTTGCTTGCAGCTCCTCCAGAGCTTGTTGTGTTTTGGTTTCGGGGAGGCGGGGGCTAAGAGTTTGGTGAAAGTTTGGAGAGTGAAGAAGGCTTGAGAAACCTAGCCAAGTCCCTCCCCTCCCTGAGCGGCTCCCCTGGCCGCCCTCCCCCGCCCTGGTCCCATCTCCTCCCTCCCGCGTGCCGACAACTCAGGCTCCTCCTACCAGGGAATAAAATTACAAGTGGCTCTAGCTTTCAGATGATTGATCCTCACGAACCCCTGGGAGTGGGACTCGGCAAAGGAGTCCCCTTCTTCTTCCCGGACTCGCTGCCTTTCGGCTGGGACCCTTGGAAAGAGCAGATGTCCTCCCCTGCGGGCTAGGCTTGGAACGAAGCCAGAAGGCCTGGGGCGCTTTGGGGGGCTGGGGCTGCAGTTAGCCCGCCAGGCCCCTGGCCTTCTGCGCCTGCGTTCCCCCTAGAGAGAAGTCAAGAGCAAATTCCGTTCCCTTTGGAGTAGCGCCGCTAGAGACTGTGGGCACAGCTGAGTAAGGCCTGGGACCCACTCCTTGGAATTGCAAGGCTGGGGAGCCCTTTCTCCAGGAACTTTCCAACACTGATTTGATCAGCCCTACCCAGGTGGTAGTGCTACAGGAGCTACCTACTTCCTCAGGAGGGGAGATAACCTGGATTGCAGTCTCTGCCAAAAGATGCTTTGCTGAGCTCCGGTTTCCTCCTCTGCAAAATAGAGAGGAAGAGTTAAAGAAATGCAGACCCACGTGAAACGCCTTGCTCTAGACAGGCAATGGGGCCTGACATCGGGAAGGGCTTCCACATTTGCTTACCTTGAACCAACCACCAACTTTCCATCAAAGCAGACAGTATTGACTGCCAGAGAAATCGGGGCCTGTGCTCAGTGATGGCTCCAGTCTGGAGGGACATGCTCCGGATTCTGCTCTGCGCCCTGAGTCCTCATCATTGTCCAGCCAGGAAATGTTTGTTTATTGACATTCGGGCTCCAAAAAGCAGGTGCATCCATGTCAAAGTTGCACAAGACCAACCAGTGTTGAGAATCCACCTTGTTAATTTATAATCACTGAAAAGGACAGCAGGTGTCCAGCAAGAAGACTCCCCCATTCAGTTCTGCCTCTCTCTAGTACACAGCTGATCCATAGCCCTTTGCCAGGACCACCTAAGCAATCTGTTGTGTCTGTGGCCTTGGACTATGCTTGTGCTGAAGCCTTTGCAAGAGTAGTTGTGTGTGTGCTCAAGTCCTGGTTCCAGGCAGATAGTATCCAAGTACTTCTCATCTTTCCTACCAGGAGTTAGTCCTCTACAAATTGTTTATGGTCTCTTCTACACTACCTCCTTTCTAGATTAACCCAAAAGGACTCCCTCCCAGGATCCACAGATTGAAGGCTGTTGAGAAGCCACCAGGGAGAGGGAGGGCTGAGGGTGGTTGGAGGAGAGGCCCCCTTTATCCATATAGGGATGAGATGAAACCTAAAAGGCATTAAGAGGGTTCTAAGAAAAAAATTATATGAATTGGCATTTTTTTTTTCCTTGAGACAGGGTCTCACTATGTCTTGGAACTCACTCTGTAGACTAAGCTGGCCTTGAACTCAGAGTCTGCCTCCCCAGTGCTGGGATTAGAGGCATATGCCAGCCACTGTGCTGTGTGTGTGTGTGTGTGTGTGTGTGTGTGTGTGTGTGTGTTGAGACAGTGGCCTCTGTCTGACATGGAATTTGCCTGCCTTGAACTTCTGACAGTCCTTTTGTCTCTTCCTCCACCTCTTGTTAATGGCCTAGTGAAAGTAGGTCTCTCTAAGAAACCCATTTGAAGGGAAGCTGATGTAAGGATACTGAGAGCTAGACACCCAGGGTACACACCAGACTAGGGCAGAAGCCAAGGGAGGTGGAAAGAAGAGCAGGATGTGTGTAGAATGAACTACCAGAGAGTCTGGGATTTCAGGAGCCACATGGTGCCTAAGCTAACGGTATGTGGGTGAAGATTATCTTAGGGGCATTTGGAGAAATTGGGGATGCTGACTGTGAGGTTTTTGCTAGGTTAACAGTGACACAGCAGAAAGTATATTTGTATACAAAGATTAATGGATGTGTGTACATTACCCATCTGATTCATAAAAAGCTTCAGTTAGCCACACAGTTGCTCACAGTGGGTCTTGAGGTGAGGCTTGAGAGAGACGCTCTGATGAAAAGCTGTCTCTGTAAGACAGGAACTAGAGTGTTTTTTTCCAATCAGAATGAGGTCTCAGGGGAGACAGGTCCAGGCCTAGCCTAGGTCAGAGCTGGGATGGCCTTCATGCCTGGTGGGGAGGTCCCCACCCTGGGCAGCTGGCCCACAGGAAGAAAAGACATGTCCAGCCAGTGGGAGAGAGGGGTGGTCAGATCTGAGGATAGACAGGAGGAAGGATGGGGTCAAGATCCCAGCGGCCTGCTACCTGAGAACAGGACAGCAAGTGGTCAGGCAGTGCTGAGACACGCCCACTGTGGGTTGAGGCATGTCTCAGGAACCTGTAGTTAGAGACAGAAGTATTTCCTGGGAGGGTTGAGCCCAGCATCTGATCCCCCAGTACTGGCTGGGTGCCTGTTTGTTTTCACCAACAAGCCAGCAGGATTAAGTCCTGTATCTCAGAGGACTTAATCAGAGCCAGCCTAGGTGCAGGAAGAGAATGATCAGACTTAAGCCCCCTTTAGAGGCACCTTGATGGAGGCGTGCTGAACACCCTGCTGAGAAATTTGAGGTGGGCCTTACCTTAATCTTGAATGTGGCTTGATCAGTGGTCTTTCCCTCCTTAGAGGTTCAGCCTCAGGGCCTAGGAAGCTTTGTCATAAGGGCCCGGCCTTGGCTTTGCTCTCAGAGCCATCTTCTCTTGAACTTGAAACCCAACTGTCAGTACATGACTCCTTCCCTGCCCCGGACCCAGCGCAGAACAGCTGCTTAGATCCGTGAATTTCTCCAGGGCTCCCTGTGCCTGTCTGGCCACCTCGTATTACCCCTACTCTTACCAGCTTAAGTCAATCCAGGCTGGACCTCAGTGGCCCTGAATGAACAGGCATACAGACAGGAAGCATTGATTTTTGGCCCCGTCCAGGTAGCCGTCCAAATCTCCAGAGCAATCAATGCCCAGATTCTTAAATACCTTTAACAGAGCTCTACAATGCCAAGGAAGCCAGCATTCCCAACACAGTAGAGAACTCAAAATACATGGTGATAATGCTGAACAACTATACCACCAAATGTTCTGAGCATCCAACTTGCAGAGTACCAATATCCTAGTTCACTAAAGAGAAGAAGGGGAGGGCTGGCCCTATGTGACTGGTTTGAGCTGAGGAGAAGCAATGACAAAAACAATGATTCCTCCCTCATGCTCCCATCTAGGTCTTGGAGGGGGACTGCAGGTCCCACCCGACCCCAATCACAAGATCTGTAAAACTCAGGGGCCACTAAACCAAATATTGTTGAACACCTACTGTGTGCTGGGAACAGTGTCATCCTCCAGGAACGTGACTCTGAGAAAGAAGAGGCTCCCACCTCCACATATGGGCATTTGACATGTATCTTTGTTGGAATGTTGGTGTGTGGTTTAGTATATGTCCATCTGGAGTCCATGTGTGGCCAAGGGTATGGCTATGACAATGTGTGACTATCGGCCTGCAATGGTGCTGTTGTATCACCTTGAGAGATAGCCACCAGTTAATATGTGTGACCATCAGTCTATGGTGTTATGTTCATCTGACTGGCCATCCCAATGATCGCTCCCTCCTCAGGCTGTTTTCTTGAGATGGAATAGAAGGTCCCCTTCCCTAAGACTCCCAGATATTGAGTCTCTGGTCTTTCTGTGTGGAAGACAGGGCTAGCTCCAGACCTGAGGATGATAGCCGGTGCTTCCCTGTGGTAGGATACATTCTGCCTTCTGTCCCTGCTCCCACTGAATCCAGGGCCGCTATGGATTGGGAGGACAGGAAGAGGCGTGGCTATATGTGAAGCAGCCAACACCAAAATAGCTCTCTGGTGCCTGGGGGCGGATTCTGTGACACCCCTGTTCCCAGTCCAGCTGCTGACCTGGTGCCTGGGGGAGGCCTTCTTTCTGACCCCACTTTCCCAACTTCTTTCTGTGTAACTCTCGTGGACTTGACTGATGGACAAAGCATCACTACAAGTGATGATATCATAGGGAGTGATGGCACTGGGAAGAGAGCCCTCAGAGGCTGGAGACACTGGTCTGTTTCGTAGGTGGGTGGGGTTCCTTCTGCTGGCAGTTTCTTTCCTACAAGTCCAAACAGCTGGGAAGGCAGGGCTGGATAAGACCTGTGAGGTTCAGGGGGGGTGTCTTATCTGTTCCTCACACATGTCTGATAAACCTCTTACCAGGGCCTGGCCCTGGAGAGCAGGTGTGGAGTAAGCTGGAAGAGGGGAAAAGGCCAGCTGGGGTTGGCTGAGTACCAGGGAAGACAGCTGGGTCAGGAAGTTCTGGCACCACCCAGGAAAGGGAAGTAAGGGTGTCTCTGTAAGGAGAGTGGATTGGTGGTCAGAAGCCTGCTTCCCAGCATTGGCGCCCCAGGTCCTTTACTACTGCCTGAGAGACTTGGAGCCCCGTGTCCTCAGGCTTCCTCTGTGCTGGTAGCAGTGACTGAAGCCTGGCAATGTGTGGGATTAAAGGATTTGCTCAGTGGAAGAATGGGAAAAGGGAGCCTGGTGTATGGGGATGGTGCATGCTCCCTCCCACATCAGGGATCTTCTCCCAGAATTTGCCCTGTGTACCCAGAAACATACGGGGGCCCTATCTGGGTTAACCAGAACCACCACCACCCCCAAGCCTCAATTCACAGCTACATCTTCCCAGTCTGTACATATCCCCAAACTCTAGGAATCCTAACCTTCCTGGGATATTTGCTTCCAACAAATTCCACAGACACCTTGGAGCCCTGATGCCCTCTGGTGACAAAAGGCACACATGGCAGTTATAGTGACTTCTCGGGTCACACTGGGTCAGACAATCTACTGTCATTTGCCAGGTTATTTCCTGTCTTCCTCACATCAAATTTTATAAGGTAAGAATAATCTCCATTTTCTAGAACTAAGGATATGTGGGTTAAATAATTACACAATT